AAAAAGACACCCCAACTCATGACTTAGGTACACAATTCTGCTTCGAAATCAACTTACCATAGCTCATGCTCACTCTAATTTGAGCGTCGGAGTGTTTGTTCCTTTTGCAAGTCTCTCTTGCATAAAGTCGCACCTCGCCAACTCTTTCCTGGACCTGTGGTAGCTCAGCGGAATCCTACATCAACATTTGGCGCCGTTTGTGGGGATCGATGTTAACAGAGCTCTTTGTGCTATCTGTAATGGCAAATGGTTCCCAAACTTCCAGCAATTGTAACCTAAGAGACCGAACTTGCTAAATAATGGCGAAACTGATAAAGAGGTCAATCGACCTCCGACACCAAAGAACTCACAACCCGAGCTAATGCCCGAAGACTAAATCCACAACTTGGAAATTCCATCATTCGAGCTGCAGACGACCCACATGGATGCTATGACACAAGCACTATTGAACGCCAGGATATCTCTCCTTGACCTACCAAAGCCTGAGGTCCCTCGTGATCCAAAGAAAGGGAAGAAGAAAGCAGATGACCCACCTAAGAAGCAACTAGCTCACCAGCAGGTGGAACAGCTGGTCCTAAGAGGTAATGACTGACCTAGAAAAAGTCAGGATCTCTGATCTACGTTTCCCCTCAACCCTCCAACGCAGGAGATGATCAGCACCTAAAGGATACCATTATCCAAAACCAAGTTTGAAGATGACAAGAGCTCGAGAAGATCCATCCCAAACAACCTGTGGACAACATGAATCCATAGATGCAGTTTGACAAATTCAAGAGAGACTTGGTCAGTGAGCTCAAAGGTGACATCAAGAATGCGAGCAAGCCGACCCCCGACAACGATCTGCCTAAAGAGCCACCATTATTCAGGCCATTATCAACGTGCCAATCCCTCATAAGAGCCACCTACCGACCTTCGACAAGTATGATGGCACGACCGACCCTGTCGACCATGTAGAGACCTTGGAGTCCATCATGGATTTCCACGTGTAATCAGATGCGATGAAGTGTAGGGCATTATCAATCACTCTGCAAGGGCCCACGGGGAAGTGGTTTAGGTTGCTTGCACCCTACTCCATCTCGACTTGGAAACAGCTGTGAAAGACATTCATAACTCAGTTTGCAGCCCATAAGGATTCAAGTTGAGTCAAAGCATCGAGGGCGAGAACGTCATGTTGTCTAAAGACAAAAAATACTTCAATCATGGTTCTCTGCCCAAACCCAAGGACAGGGGGAAAGAAAAGAGAGACAACCAGTCCAGCTCTTCAGGTCGACCTGACTACGATCAACAAAGCGATTAGTAGTCTAATCAACCTCAGCGATATCATAGATTCACCTAGCTGGACATCCTGGTCTCCGAGATTCCAACAAACATTTAAGATGCAAGGCTCAATCTGTTGAAGGATTCCAAACTGTTGTGTTAAGATTCCGACCAGCAAGATAGGTCGAAGTATTGTTGTTTCCAGTGGGACCACGACCATCATGCCTCTGACTGTTACGACTTAAAACAACAATTTGAGGGTTTGATTCGACAAGGCTGCTTTAAAAAGTACGTCGAAGAAAAGTATCAAGAAGATAGTACAAAAGCAACTAGTAGTAAGAAGGAAGAGAAAAGAGAGAGGTCCAAGACCCCTCCAAAGCATGATGATCGACCTCTAGTGATCAACACTATTCACGGAGGACATAGTGTGGGCTAGTCAGGCCACAAGCGCAAAAAGCTTGCTCGAGAAGCTCGACATGAGACCTCCTCGTTGCAAGCAAAGCTAGAAGCCAGCCCCATCGTTTTCACAGATGCTGACTTGCAAGGCATCCATCTGCCTCACAATGACACCCTGGTCATCATAGCTACCTATATTGACCACTGGTAGATGGTGGTGCCTCAGCCAACACTCTATCCCTCTTGACCTGTACGACTCTTGGTTGGTGAAGAGCTCGGTTGAAAAAAGGCTTGACTCCTCTAGTTTGTCTTTTAGGAGAAAGCATGACACGATCCGTCCCAAACACCTACTAGTCCTAGAACGAGTCGCACCGACCACAGACCCCGACTAACTACGAAGTCAGTGGTCAACTTCTTTCTTTCCTTTGACCTGAACTTTGACTAACAACTTCGGATGGATGCACAATAAAATATTAATCTTAACCAAACAACCATTCTTACATCCATTCTATACATTCTTTTCCTATCAATAGAATGCAGATAAAATTTCTTACAAACCAACTAAACTACATACAAAGAGATATGCAACTCTTAAACAACTCGGGGTGGCAGAAGCTGAACTAAATTCTTCTTGAAACTCAGAAACTCAGATACTCAGGTACAGCCTGGGGGGAAAACAAAACATAAACAGTGAGCTGAGAAGCTCAGTGAGTGGTAAGTTAATAAGAAAATATTGTCGTCAACTTCCTTTCATAAACAACTGAAAATTCAGTTTTTAAAACAAACATCATAAAACTGAAGTAATAATCATTCTCATTAAAATTCCATAAAATTCTAGTAAAACTAGAGCAACGTTATACATTTCATAAAACTCAGTAAACTTCTCAAAATCAAACTTGTAACAACAATTTCTTTACAGGCAAACCGAAAAGACAACGCTCCCAAGTCCAGGATTCAGACCAGGATTCGGAATCCGGATTTGGCCCTTATCGCCCCGGCATTCCCCTGCATCTCCTGCGACCTAGTTACGCCAACTTCTCAACATGCTCTAAAACACATTCTAAAATATATAAAACATTCTTCTTCAAACATAAAACAGATAGATAAAACTCAACATCACACATGTATCCACATTCTATTCTGGTCTACTGGCGTAGAGTAATCTCAATACACACAGCAGAATAATTCTGGTCTACTAGCATAGAGTAATCTCAATACGCATAGCAGAATAATTCTCTCAACACGTGGAGTAAAATGGTCCCAAAGACCTTCTATTTCTGGGTATACTATAGAAACACATTCACATAGCATACGGGTAATCACCTAGATACAATAACATGGTGGTTTGAAAACTTCTTTCTCAATCTCATAAACTGTTCTAAAATTCTTCTTTCATTTTTTCTTCTTTCTAAGAACTTTTCTTTCTTTCTCAAATCATTTCTAAAATATTTCTTTCTAAGAACATTTCATGAAATTCTAAAATCATTTTCTGAAATCTCTTTCTAAATATCTTYCATAAGCTTAAACCATTCTTTAAACTCATAAAGCATTTCTAAATTCTCATAAACATTTCTAAATTCTCGAACAAACACATTTTCTTTCATTCTTAGCAGAAATGCTAAATCATACATAATATATAATTTCTTAGAAATTCTATATTAGTAGGTATCTAAAACCATTTAATAAAATAACCACTCACTAATCCTTCAAACTTGATCGTCCTCCGTTCCAATTTCTGCTCGACCTGAAATATCGATTCAATACCAAATTAATTCACGCTTTAATCCAATTTAACTTCAACATATTTTTGTTTCCAATTGAAATTATATTACCTTCCAAATTAATCCACATAAATCCAATTTTATAACTCATTCTCCCTCTTCATTAACAACCCACCATTTTTCTCTCTTATACCATTTACAAGTGGGTCCCACCAAAACCCATTGAATTTCTCTTCCTTTCACCTTCTCACGTGATTTCCCCTTCCTTTTACCAATTCATTTTTACTTTTCTCAATTAAATTCTATTAAAAAATTCCTCTCTCTCTTCCCAAAAACTATTCATCTTCTTCTTCTTTCTTCTCCAAAACCCATGGATTTTCTTCCTTTCTTCCATCCTCTTTCTCTGTTTTTCTTTCTTTTTCTTCAACCCAGAACCACAATTTTAACCTCAAATAAGTTGTCCTTCACAAAACCCACAAATGAAAGGAGTCTATTTTCAAGAATCTCATGGTTTAAGACACTGAAACTTACCCAAAAACAAGCTTCAAAAACTCCAACCGGTTTAAAATAAAACTCTTCCTTCCTCCTTAGCCGTACACCACCTTCGATTTCTTTCTCTTCCCTATTCATTCTTCTTCTCCTACGTTGTCTCTCTCTTTTCTTCACACTTCTTTCTTTTTTTTCCTTTTTCCATTCTTATGCTTTCTCTTTCTTTCTTTTTATTTATTCTTTTCCTTCCCCACCTTTTCTTTTCTTTTAAAACACCTATCACTCACCTTCATTAATCAACAACACACACACACGTGCCTTTCTAAAACAAACTTTCATTTCTTTCATTTCTTTTTCCCCTTTTTTTTGTTTTTCACTTTGAAACGGTCCTTACAAAGCATTACTCTAGAGGGGTGCATCGAGCTCCCCATCACTCTTGGTGAGGAAGATACTCGAATCACCTAAATGGCAGAGTTCACTATGATAGATGGCAAGTCAGCTTACGACACTATTTTTTATTGACCTATCTTACATGTCGTATAGACCATCCCCTCAACATATCATCAAATGTTGAAGTATCCGGGTTCCAAAGGAGTGAAAGTCATTAGATGGGAGTAGAAAACCTCGTCGCCGCCCTGAAAGGATCCTCTACATGTGCTGTCGTCTCAGATAAATCTAAGCTAAATGGGGACGACCTCACCATCAGTAGAGGCACGCCGGCTAAGAAACTTGATCTGGTCCATTACTTAACCCTGGTAGACAAGTAAGCACTGGTATCAAGCTGGGAGCCATAGACAGGAGCGAGCTTATCAGCTTCATAAGATAAAATATTGACGTGTTTACTTGGTCACACGAAGACATGCGGGGCATTGATCCAAGCATCATGGTTCACCGCCTCAACATTGACCCCTCTTCTCGATCTATTAAGTAAAAGTGCCAACCTGTAAAGAGTGAGAGAAGTGTAATTATTGTAGAGGAAGTCAACAAACTTTTACGAGCTCAATACATTAAAGAAATTATCTACCTTTACTGGCTCTCTAATGTCGTCTTAGTTAAAAAATCTAATGGTAATGAAGAATATGCATGAAATTTAGAAGCTTAAATAAAGCATGCCCCAAAGATAGTTTTCCTTTACTGCGCATGAATCAGCTAGTCAATTCTACTACTAAGCTTGAGTTATAGACCATTATGGATGCCTACTATGGCTATAACCAAATCAAAATGCACAAGTTCGACCAATGACATACTTCCTTCATAACCGACCAAGGGCTTTACTACTACAAAGTGATGCCCTTCGGGTTAAAGAATGTTGAAGCGGCCTACCAACACATGGTTAATAAGATGTTCGCCAAGCAACTAGGTCGCAACATGGAAGTTTATGTTCACGACATGCTCGTCAAGAGCAAGAAGACTAGCTCCCACATTGTCGAGTTGACAAAAGCATTTAGTATACTCCAACAATATCGGATGAAGCTCAAACCAGCTAAATGTGTCTTTGGAGTTTCATCAAGCAAGTTCCTCGAGTTTATAGCGAGCAAGCAAGGAATAGAGACCAATCAAGAGAAAATCTAAGCCATACTTGGTATGGAACTCTTAAATAACTTGAAGCAACTCCAATGCCTTAATGGGCGAATAGCTACCCTCAACAAGTTTTTGTCGCATTTAACCAACAAATATCTTCCCTTCTTCAAGGTGCTGAATACCAAGGGGCAGTTTGAGTGGATGTCAGAGTGCCAAGTCACTTTTGACCAGCTCAAGACCTACTTGAGCTTGACGCGCCTACTATCAAAATCTATTCAATGAGGCATGCTCTTTCTCTACCTGGTTGTTTCAGAGAAAGCCATAAGCTCGGCCCTGGTGAAGTAGGAGAAGAGACAGTAGAGTCCCGTCTATTATATAAGTAGGGCGATGATTGATGTTGAAACTTGGTATTCGTGCATGGAGAAGCTCGCTCTAGCCATTGTTACAGTTGCTCGACGACTCCACCCCTACTTTCAAGCTCATTCAGTCACGATGTTGACAAATTTTTCCCTCCCAGTTTCTCCAAAAGCCTGAGACCTCCAGAAGATTGATGAAGTGGGCACTCAAGCTTAGTAAGTATGTCATCACCTTTGTGCCTCGAAAAGCTATTAAAAGCCAAGCAATAGTTGACTTCATATTCGAGCTGGCCCCACCAGTCAGCACAATCTAGAGGCACTCGAGCCATGGACCATGTATATCGATGGATCATCCAACGACAACGAGTGTGATGTTGGGGTATTACTTAGTGCACCAAGAGGCATGAGATTTGAGTATACGTTGCACTTCAACTTCCAAACTTCAAATAATGAAGCAGAATACGAGGCACCCCTTGTCGACCTGTGAATAGCGAGAAGCTTGGCAGTGCAGCATCTCCTCATCTACAACGATTCATAGCTCATAGTGAACAAAATTACCAAGGAGTATCAGGCCAAATAAATGGAGAAGTACTTGAAAAAAGTCAATGGATTGTTTGCCGAGCTATGCAAGTACAAGATACACCAAGTTCCAACGTCCAAGAACACTAATGTTGACGCCCTTGCAAAGTTAGTTTTTGTCTACGAAATCGACCTAGCCAGTTCGGTACCTGACACGACCCGCCCTAAACACCTACTAACTATAGGACAAGTCGTGTCGACCACAGACCCCCAACCATCTACCAAGTCTATAGTCAAATTCTTTCTAACTTTCTAAAACTAATTTAGATTATTCTTCAACATATAAAACATAAAGTGTAACATAATTCATTTAAAAACAAATAACTATTCGGCCACAAAAGGTCTTAACTATTCTAGTATAAGTCATTCTAGTTGTACATACAAAATGATATGCAAATTTGAGACGGTGAGTGGCAGAAACTGGTTGGCTATCTCTATGAAACTCAGGTGCAGCCTGGATGAGGAAAACAATGATAAACAGTGAGCTTGCTATCTCTATGAAACTCAGGTGCAGCCTGGATGAGGAAAACAATGATAAATAGTGAGCTAGGAAGCTCAGTGAGTGACATTTTATTAAGAAAATAATTTCGTAAAACTTATTCCATAAAAACAACTGAAATTTCAATTCTCAAGTCGAGCTTCATAAAGCTGAAATAATAAACATTCTCGTTAAAACTTCATATAACTTGAGCAACTAAAATTCAGTAATTTTCTGAGCATAACTT